TCTTCGGAATTTAAATAAAATCATGAACTTAATCAAAGTAATTAACGCATTATTCAATATTTTGTTTCGATATTCCAGAATTGTAAGAATCATCAATTTTAAAATTCGCAAAGTTTTAGAACAGATATCATAATTCCTACATTTATAAGTTTGTTTAACTTTCTTAAATGAGAAAAATATTTGATGCTAAATTTAGATTTATAGAAACTTTCCAGGCATTTTTCGCATAACAGAATCACACATATCAGTATATGTATTCTGATTGTAAATTAATATTATGATATAATGGAGTTTTTATTATAAATTTAAAATTATCAATATTTATAGTTTTTCTTCTTCATAGTTATAATTAATGACAGGACAAAATGGGTCGAAATCAAACTTTAAGAAATCAATCTAATGCAAAAAGAAACAAACAAAAGAACATTTTGTTTGATAACCAAATAATGAAATAGTTTAATAGCACAATAATGAATGATTGTTTGAAGATAATATCCACTCAAATAAAATGTTTTATTAAAATATTTCATTCAAATAATACATCAAGGTATGATAAAATTGAAATTTCTTTTTCATACATGCTTTGTGTAAAATGACAGGATACTTTCAAACAATTTCTACCTTTTATTTTCATATCAATTTCACATACTTTGACCCTTTATCAACGTTACACAGTCCCGACGAGTAAAAGAAAAAGTCTCAGACGAGCCATTATCTCATTGCCTTTCCAATCATTTCTGATCGATAACGTAAAAAACTCGTGATTCAATAAAATTCTGAAATAATAACGCGATGAAGTAACTCCATGAAACTTGATAACAACGTGGATGTCGTGCAAAGAGAAAAAAATAAGGAAAAAATGGAAAAACCCTTAACGATTATCGCAAACCGATAAAGGCCGTCGATACTAACTACAGGCAGAAATGAAGCGTAAAAAGAGAAGAGAAAAAAGATAGAAAATAATAAGCCGATAAATTATTGTGCTTGAAATTTGGCAGCGACTGAGAGAGATAACGCAGCCAGACAATATGGCGATGCAACACACAAAG